AGGCCATGCCTCTCAACCAAGGTAGCTGGTCAAGTATCAAGTGCCAAAAGGCCGTGCCTCTCAACCAACGTAGCTGGTTGAGCAAAAAATGCCAAAAGGCTCGGATTGTTTCCAATCTCTATATATGGGTTGAAGTGATGACAGGAGTCATCAAGCAAATGATGTGCATTGAAAATCAGGGATATGCCGATGAGGATAAGAAGCATAATGAAGAAAGCAATGGCTCGTGTAGTATGCATGATGGTAAGATCAAGAAAGAAGAATGGAAAACTTACACAATTGAACTTGAACATTCACGTGACTGGACAAACAAGTGCTTATATTCATAACAACACATGACCTATATGTACACAAATTCAGATGTCTTCTCACTCTCTTTGATTTTTGCTTGTGTGTATACTATTATGCATGATCAAAAAAGGCCATAGCTCACTGTTCCCTCATAGATTTGAGTTCCCATGTTTCCTTATGTCCTTTGAGCTTATTCCTCCAATCTGATACTGTAAGAGGTTGAGCTGCACCCAAACGAATATCTTGCAAGCGTTTAACATATGTTGATTCCAACATCTCATTCCAGTGACCATAACTTTCCACATGCATTGTTGTTGTCAAAGATGTTGTAAGGTGGCCACCATGATTTGTTGGAATATACTTTGGCAACTCCTTGATTTCCCAGAATATTCAGAAAGTGAAGACTTTCTAATAAGAAACATACCTGTTGAGCACACATACATTCCACAGATCCAGTCCATTTCATTATGAGTCAGCTTATCATTGAGAAGCGGCGGATATCCTTTCCTATCATTGACAACAAGAAGGCTTCCTCCTCCAACAGGTCCTTCCAACAACTCATCTATGCTCACGTTTCCAATTGTCGATCGTCACAAAAAACCACCATGAAGGATAGCTGCCCGTACGCGGGGACGTCGAAGAATTCGTGATCGACATTGCAGATATGCCTCATAATCCAATTTGGTAAAGTGGTATCCGGCAGGATGCTGTGGAAGAAATAACTCAACATCGGGGTACAATATTGAGCGCGGCATAAGCAGCTCAGTCAGCAAAGTGCGGAATGGAATCCCACGTAATGCCAAGAAACGTGCAATATCTACATCCAGAAATTGAGCATCAAGACGGCAAACCAGCAACGCATCAGAGGCTGTTGTTACAGCTAGCCTCCAGCGAACTGTGACTTTATCGAATAATAATACATAGAGCCATTTTGCCAGTACATCGGCATCAGAATTTCTGTACAAGGCAATAGAATCCAGGTGTTCACGAAAAGAAGAAGATTTTGGAAGTTCAAGATCAAAGATGATTTGCTGCCCTTCGAGAATTTGATGTTGAGTGACACGTTTGGACTGGCCAAGACGATGCGCCTTGTGCGTACAGTTCGAATGAGACACCTGATTGATTGAGCAAAGATATGATCCACCAGACGACACAACAAGCACGTTTGGACTGGCGACAATAGAAGTTGTGTGAAATGTGAAAACATTCGTATGTTTGACTGAGCGAGTATACAATGCTGCAAGCATGTTTAGGCTGGATAGTAGTCAAGTGGAAAGATAAGAACTTTCGTTGCATGACCCTCTAAAGACAATAATGACAAACACTATACTACGCCTCTTGCTACTTTAGTCATATAAGTTGATTTCAGCCATGTTATTAGAGCAATGCTCAAAAATCCTGTATATTTTTCATCAGACACAATCCCTAGTACACCGTCATAACCATCTATCTTGTAAAATGGCAGGAACGGCCAGTAGGAGGTGGATGTGGGTAATATATTTTGAACAACAACGTCTATCTCGTCCGTGAAGCTGGGTGAGCTTGAGGGACACTAAACGAGTTCAATAGAACTTGTTTAGTTTGTTGGAAGGTAGATACAGGCATACTTGACGAAAAAGGCGGGTGGTGGGATAGTCTGTGTGCGCCTGGGTGGCATAGAGGTTCCGAGCATTCCTTATGTTACAAGAGCTATATAGAAACAATAAGAAAGTTAGTTAGTACTCATTAAATGACAGTTAAGTCAGGCTAACCTGTAAAATGGAGGGAAGGGCCAGTAGGAGGTGAACATGAGTATGACTTTGCACAACGAAGACTATCCGTGTCCGCGATGCTGGAAAAGATTGACAGACACTAAACAGATTCAAACGAATTCGTTTAGTTTGTTGGAAGGTACATAAATGCAGATGTTTGACGCAAAAAGGCGGGTGGTGTTATGGTTTAAGTGCAAATGGGCGGCATAGAAGTTCCGAGTATCCAGTAGGCTACAAAAGCTTTAGAAACATCGAGTTCAAAGACAGGAAGGTGAGCTAATTGCAGGAAGGGCCAATAGGAGGTGAACATGGGCAAGACTTTGCACAACAACGACTATCCGTGTGTCCACAACGCCGGGAAAGCATGAGGGACGCTAAACGAGCTCAAATGAACTCATTTGGTTTGTTGGAGGGTAGATAACAGCGTCAATTTGACGAAAAAAAGGTGGGTGGTGGCATTGGTTTGAGAGCGACTGGGCGGAGCAGAAGAACCAAGTATCCAATAGGCTACAAAAGTTACAGAAATGACAAACAAGTTAGTTAGGATATGTTTAATGGCCAAGGAAGGTGGGCTAACCTTTACAATCACAAGAACGGTTAGCAGGAAGAGGGTGTGTGCAATATTGTTGAAAAATTGTGACTCCCGCAACCAAGAAAGTTGTGGAGACACCAAATGAGTTCAAACGAACTCGTTTGGTAGCCAGGAAGGTAGATTGATGCATAGGAATGAAACAGAAAGTGGGGTGGGAGTATGGTTAAAATGCGACAGGGCAGCATAGACGTTGTGCAGAACACGTGGGCTAGAAGAGCTATATATGCAACAAAAGAAGTAGTTAAGACTTGTTTAAAGAAAGGAAGGAAGGTGGACGAACCTTCGAAAACGCGGAAACGGTTAGCAGGAGGAGGGGCAGGCAAGAAGGTTCATTTCATGACTATCTGCGCTTCTGCGCATCTAAGAAAGTTGAGGAGACACTAAACGAGTTCAAACGAACTTGTTTAGTGTATAAGAAATCAGATGAACCGGCAGGCTTCAAAGAGAAAGGCGGTTAGGAGGATGGTTGAGAAGTGAGTGGGTGCTGTCAACATACCTGGCATCACTTGTGTAAGAGGGCCATTGCAAGCATGGCAGATACGAGTCCTTTTTATATTCAGGAAGCCACAATGCAGCACCACAGCATTCACATTTTTGATTATTTAGGAAACTGGTCATGTGACCACCTCCTGAAAGCCCATCAGATCTATACCCATTATATATATATATTATTGCTATTTTTTATTGGACAAATTGTATATTTCCATGTATATAAAATACTGGACCTTACAGAGAGTCCCTACCTTGAAAGCGACAATAAGTACTATGCTCCATTTTTCACTAAATTTTTCCAGTCCTTTATAGCTATTTTTAACTAGATTATTATGTATGGAATTTTCTTCTGGACCCTGAACATGCTCCCCAGTATAGCACAAACAGTGAGCATCTTCCTTCAATTTCTTTCTGATTTTTCTACTATTATATTGCCATTTTTTGATTCAAAAAGTGCACATTACCTCAGTTGAAAATATGCCCTATACTCTGAAAATGGTCCCCAACATTGTCATCAACAATGCATATTGTCCCCCATTTGTTCCTGATTTGTCTTCTGTTTTTATCACTATTTTTCCTTTCAAAAAATGTTTGACAACATCATCAAACCATCAAATCTTATGGGAAGAAAGGCAAGATTCAGTGTTAGAAGTACTGAAAAAATCCTTGAGATCAGAGAGTAACAAACTAGTGTCTTTATAAACTCAGAGGACTCATAACATCATTGCTAACAATGAGCACCATATTCCAACTTTCTCTGATTTTTGTGTTATTTTCTGGCAATTGTTGAATAAATTTCCATATAAGGAAATGCACCTGGGACCCTTGAAACAGTCCTAACATCAACATCAACAGTTAGCACCATTCTTCAATTGTTTTCCATTTTTTCTGCCATTTAATTGCTATTTTTCAGTTGGACAAATGCTGAGTGCCATATATGGAAATTTACCAGAGACCCTGAGAGTGTTTTCAAATGTTGTCACCAACAGTGAGCACCATCAGCCATTTTCTTGTAATTTTTGTGCCAATTTATTGCTACTTCTTCATTTGAAAAAGCTTGCATTAGCTTGATTTTGTGCAAACATATATCTATTTGTGCACATAGCTTTTATTACATAATATACATAAAAACAAACTGTATTTTTCTTGGTGTTTTATTTCATTTATTTTAGATTTTATGTTGGTGAGCTTCAGATTCTTCTTTGAAAAAGTATGTTTATTTGTACTTTGACCTTATTACATAATGAATTGTATACAGGTATGATCCCTGAAATTTTACATTTTTTCTGCATTTTATTTCATCTGAATTGGACTTGATTTGGTAAAGTTACACATTTTTCTTTAGGCAACGCTTGGAACTCAAGAAGTGATGATGCACGAACATTTCCTGATCACTTGATGGGGGACAGTTTCATGTGTCATAGTAGATCTCAGATCAGTTACCATTTTCGGTAATAAATACAGATTCATGTATAACTGAAGTAGATGACATGATCTATTTCCTTTTTAAACAATCTTTGCCACAATATACAAATGCAGGGGGGCAGATCTCAGGGCGTAAGTTTTAGATCTCATCTCTCATCTCTTGTCCTCTTGGCATCACAGATTCCGACGACACATGAAACTTCCCCCCATCAAATGATCGGGAAATGTTCGTGCATCATAGAATCTTGAACATTTGTACTGAGGCTGTGCAACTTCGGTAGTATTCATCATAGATTCCGATGATGCACGAAACTTCCCCCCATCAAATGATCAGGAAATGTTCATGTGTCATCAAATCTAGCTCTTCAAGTTCAACTTCCCATGGCACCTTCTCTTTGCCACAGCACCCTCTCTTTGTGGTGTGCTCTGGTGTTTTGCTGAGTGCTCTTCGTCTTGGCCAGTCCAAACGATTTGTGCAACATATCTACTGCATATCTGTCTCCTTTGCACGCTCATCGTCGTCTTGGCCAATCCAAACGATTCAAGTGCCATGTATCTACCACAATTGTCTCATTGAGCAATACGCCAGCTTCACCATGCCATCTCTATGCACCTGTTCTCATCTTGGCCAGTCCAAACACTTCAACCATGTTCGTCTTGTGGAGCAATTCACTGGGTTCTCCAATCCCACCATTTCCTCTTCATTGCATGCACGCTAAGCGCCAAGATCCAAGCACATGGATTCAATTACCATCAACTGTGCTGCGGGGGTGCCACCATTGAACAGACTGGTGTTAAAGGTGTGAAGGGTACCCACTGCTATTCTACTACTTGCACACATCTACTACTTGCACACATGTAGTAGTATCAAAACAAGTCTACACTGAAGGGAATGAAGCCACAGGAAGGTCTTGGCAGAGTTTAGCATAAGTTCAAAAGACACAAAATTACAAACAGACGTACCTCCACAAAGGGTCAATGGATTCATAAGCAGTTTGTTGAAGTGTTTTCAAGATGTGAAGTAGTGTCCAAATGAGGCTATGTTGAAGGAAATTGAGCCACAGGAAGGTCTTGGGCAGAGTTCACCATAAGGGCAAAAACATGAAAATACAAACTGACATACCTCCACGAAGGGATGACAGACTTGTGGGTGTGGGCCAGTGCTTTGCATGGCATGTATGAGTCCTTTCTGTGGACTCTAAATTTAATATTAGGAAATTGGTCATGTAATCACTTTATGACTTTCTGAGTTTTGTTCTATATTTGCAAATAGACCCTGAGCTCTGAGCCTAGCCATCAATATCATAGCAACAATGTGTGCTATTCTTTTTTTTTTTTTTTTTTTCATTTTATAGCAAATTTTCCCAATTTTATAACTATTTTTCTGTTTATGGTAAAATATTCCCACAGTCCTGTTTGCATATATCTCAGGAAAGAGGATGGTTAGTTATATTTTGTGACCTATAATAGCATGCTCTATATATTTGTGATGAATTTCCTTTTTTGGGTTAAAATTCCCACGGTATCAGAAGCACAGCCTCTCACTTAGCTCCATAAACAATAATTGTAGCCCCTTTCCTTACCTTTATAGATATATATAAATAATGTCATGCAGACCATTCCTCATTGAGAAAAACACAAAATACTGAAAAAATTGGACACTTTTTGGAAATTGTCATGCATTTTTGACCAATATCTCAAAGAGCAAGAAAGCTGGTCTCAAGATATAGTCACATTGCATGATCTGACAATATTTTTACATGGTTGTCTTGATTTTCCATATTTGGATATGGACACAGCCCCTTCAACACCATGGCAACAGAGAAGATCACTCTTAATTTTTGGGTATTTTTTTCTGATTTTCTGGCAACTTTTAGGTGGTTTCTATATTTAGATATTGACCCTGAACCCTGAACACAGCCTCCCCACCTTACTAAGCAATATTCTGATTTTTACATATTTTTTGCTGATTTCTTTTACCATTTTTCCTGATTTTATGGCTGCTTTTCTGTTTAAGGGAAAAGGTTCCCGCGGTGATGAAAGGTAAATGAATGAATGAATCAATGAATGAAAAATTTGCCTAAGTCCTCAGTTGATAAAGAATGAGTCTTACTCGTAAACTCGTAAGGACTCATAATTCATGGATGGTTTGTTGGAGCATTTTTGGGACATGTAGTAGCATCGAAACGAATCTACGCTGAAGGGAATCGAGCCACAAGAAGGTCCTGGGCATAGTTTATTACAAGTCCAAAAAACATGAAATTACAAACAGACGTACCTCCACGAAGGGTTGATGGATTCGTAAACGGTTTGTTGGATCGTTTTCACGATGTGTAGTAGTGTCCAAACGAGTCTATGTTGAAGGAAATCGAGCCACAGGAAGGTCTTGGGTAGAGTAGAGCATAAGTGCAAAAACACAAAATTACAAACTGACGTACCTCCACAAAGGGATGACGGATTCGTAAATGGTTTGTTGGAGCGTCTTCGGGACGTGTAGTAGTATCCAAAAGAGTCTACATTGAGGGAGATCGAGACACAGGAAGGCCTTGGGCAGAGTTTAGCAGAAGTGCGAAAACACGAAAGTACAAATAGACGTACCTCCACAAAGGGATGACGGATTCGTAAATGGTTTGTTGGAGCGTCTTCGGGACGTGTAGTAGTATCCAAAAGAGTCTACATTGAGGGAGATCGAGACACAGGAAGGCCTTGGGCAGAGTTTAGCAGAAGTGCGAAAACACGAAAGTACAAATAGACGTACCTCCACGAAGAGTTGACGGATTCATAAACGGTTTGTTGGAGCGTTTTCGGGACATGAAGTAGTATCCAAACGAGTCTACGTTGAGGGAGATCGAGACACAGGAAGGCCTTGGGCAGAGTTTAGCAGAAGTGCGAAAACACGAAAGTACAAATAGACGTACCTCCACGAAGAGTTGACGGATTCATAAACGGTTTGTTGGAGCGTTTTCGGGACATGAAGTAGTATCCAAACGAGTCTACGTTGAGGGAAATCGAGGCACAGGAAGGCCTTGGGCAGAGTTTAGCAGAAGTGCAAAAACATGAAAGTACAAACAGACGTACCTCCACGAGGAGTTGACGGTTTCGTAAACGGTTTCTTGGAGCGTTTTCGGGACGTGAAGCACTATCCAAACGAGTCTACGTTGAAGCGAATCGAGCCACAGGAAGGTCCTGGGCAGACTGGTGGCTACCACTTTTATGATAAAACTAAGGCAATTGCCTGTAGAGCTGTGTGTATAAGTCCACAAGTTTTATGAAAGGCATTTCATAGATGTGTCCTGTGTTTTCTTTCTCATAAAACCTATGTTCTTTTCATAAGATATAGGCAACGCCACAGAGTGCTTTTCATAATTAAACCTGTGCACTTTCAATAGGTATTTCATTCACTGGGTTAGGTGTATTCATTGCCTTTTTCATAATTAATGGTGTGCACTTTCATTGAATATTTCATTAGGAATTTTGGGCGCTTTCATTGCTTTTTTCATAATTAATCCTGTGTGATTTCAATAAATATTTCATTCACTATGTTAGGTGTATTCAATGCCTCTATCATATCTAATGGTGTGCACTTTCATTGAATATTTCATTAGGAATATTGGATGCTTTCATTGTACTTTTCATAATTAATGTTGTGCAATTTCAATAAATATCTCATTCCCTAGGTCAGGTGTATTCATTGCCTCTTTCATAATTAATGCTGTGCGCTTTCATTGAATATTTCATTATCAATTCTGGGTGCTTTCATTGTGCATTTCAATAAATATTTCATTAGCTAGGTTATATGTATTCATGCTTTCTTTCATAATTAATGATGTGCACTTTCATTGAATATTCCACAGCTTTCATTGGGATTTTTCATTGAGTATCTCAATATTTCATTCCAATTTCATATCTGCCNCCAGGGATATCATTATGATTTTTCATTATATTCCATGATAGCAATGAAATAGCTATTACGGTCCATCCAATGGGTCATTGGGAGGGTGGTCACATGACAAATTTCCAAAAATGGTAAAAAAACAAAAGTTGTAGCTCTTTACCATAGCTTCCAGAATCAGTTGGAATTATGTCCTAAAGTGCTTCCATTGTGGAGATATAAGGTAAAAGGTTTTCAAAAGCACTGCGTTTTTTTTTTTTTTTGCATTTTTCTTCATGAAAAGAACACTAAACAACATGATTTCAACAGATTTAGAAAGCTAAGAGAAGGGGCTACAACTATTGTATCGTGGGAAATTTCTCCCAAAAAGGAAGGTACATGCCCTAAAAGGGTAATTGACACTGACAGACTACAAAAGTAATTTATAGCCTACAAAGTTTACTAATAGACTACAAAAAAGACTACAAAAGTTGGACATAGACCACAAAGGTCAGACAAAGACTACAAAAATTAGTAGTGTCTGCTTTTCTCATTACAAAAGTAATAGTGTCCGCTTTTTGAGACTACAAAAATTAGTAGTGTCTGTTTTTTCAGACTACAATGGTTTGTAGTGTCCGCTTTTTGAGACTACAAAAGTTAGTAGTGTCTGCTTTTTCAGACTACAATGGTTTGTAGTGTCCGCTTTTTTCATTATAAAAGTTAATAGTGTCCACTTTTTGAGACTACAATGGTTTGTAGTGTCCGCTTTTTGAGACTACATCAGTTAGTAGTGTCTGCTTTTTCAGACTACAATGGTTTGTAGAGTCCACTTTGTTCATTATAAAAGTTAATAGTGTCCACTTTTTGAGACTACAATGGTTTGTAGTGTCCGCTTTTTTCATTACAAAAGTTAATTGTATCTGCCTTTTCAGACTACAATGGTTTGTAGTGTGTCCGCTTTTTTCATTACAAAAGTTAATTGTGTCCACTTTTCTGACATATAGTATGTAGTGTGGTTAACTATATATATATAGGTCATTGGGGATATGATTGAAGGATTGGGATGAGTTGACATTCTGCCACTTATGAATAGTTGTGTTTGATGTCAGGTCCATGGCTGTTTTCCACACTAAGCCACTATCCTATCTTTGATGTTGGTTAACCTTCCACTCAGATCAGTATCTGCTGTCCTATGTCTGACCACAGTCAATCTTCACATGATTTTTTTGGAGTGATAAATTCTCTGTGCTACCAATGCAACTTGTCATGTCTTTCAATACCAAGACCAGTTGTCATTCTCCAAGCCTTCACCACTGGGGTCAGCCTTGAGTAGATTGATTTAAAGGTACCAAAAGTGAGTTAAATATGTGGTTGGTCCTGTCTGTTTTTCAATGTCTATCCAGGATTCATGTGAAGCACACCCTTTGATTAGATAGGATAT